TCGATTCATGTTTCAAATAGGGATATCCACATTTCAGATGCTCAATAGCCACATGTGGCTAGTAGCTACCATGTTGGATAGTGAAGATTTAGAAACCATTTTATTGACTAATAAGAAATTCTGATTATTCATAGAGACCATAGAGAAAATAGTGTTTCTAGGTGACAGTAGCTTATCCTTCAAGTCTTACCTCCATGTCATCTCTTTTGTGAGACTGTCTCTGAGCATCCTGGTCAAAACATACCTTCCCATACATATTTACCTAGCATGTGTTATATTGCTATATAATCTGTTGCATTATGTAATATTTACTTTTTCCTTATATAAAATATTGACCTTCACAATGGCAAGAGTTATCTGCATATCTCCAACCCATAGTTTATTTAACAAATATTTTTTGACTGCATATTTATTATCAAGTATTGCTTTTTGTGCTCAAGATATACCTGTGGAGAATAAAATCACTGACCTTATAGGGATTACAGTTGTAGAAAATCAATGCCCAGTAAAAAAAATGTTGAATTAAAAGAAATTTAGGTTTTAACTTTTGGTGAGTCTCAAAACAATAGGTTTAACTTAACAAAATGATACTTAACAGGTGATGAATTTGTAAATAGTCTTGCAAATTGATTTAAAGCAAGAACATTTTATAGAGTTTTAGGATGGAAAAGAACTGGCTTGATGGTAGTTCACATGACTGAGTGGTTTTAAATGAATTGACTGAAATAAGGGAAATAGTTTTTCTTTAATATAAGTAGGCTTATCTAGCAGTGGTACCAGTTTGTACCACGTCTGTACAAATGTTCTGGGGACCAAAACTGAATATTGAGAATTCAGACATTTGCAAGTTTAGAAAATCCAGTGCAAGGGATTCCGGATGACAAGGAGATGTTGAAGCTTCTAGAGCAAACCTGGATGACTTTTAGTGTCTGCTGTCTTTAAGAAAATAAGACACTTGATGATGGGAGTTTATTGGAGAGGGGGCTTCTTCATTGTATGGGCCAATACTGTGGTTAACCTCCAGGAAGTGTGTTAGGTGGGACTGAAATACTTTCAAGATGATTAAGTAAAAATGGATATGTATCTGTCACAGACTACAGTGATGAGAATATAGGGGACCACTACTTTATAGTATGCTACGTGTTTTACACTATTTTTCTTCATCTTCCCTTTTATTTCTTTTAATTTGGGGGAATGATGCTCTTCTGGTCTGCATGCTTCTTTGCACCTGTGTATGTCTGTACTTTCTCAGTGAATTGCATTATGATTTATACTATATTTATCTTTGTAAATATATAGCTACCAAGTTTGAGCTGCTTGGCTGCAGGGATCCTCTCTCATGATTTTGCCAGTAACCAGCCCTATTGCTTACATAACTGGGATACTCGGTTAAAGAACTGAATTCTAAAATAGAAATTTAAGTTAACCCAGTATGCTTTTGCTGCTGTAGTATTCTAATTGCTTTCTTAACATCTTCTCTTCCCATCCTGAGTCCAATCAGAACGATTTTTTTTAAAACATATATGATCATATCATGCAGTCCTTAAACCACATTGGTTATCTCCCACCTCTTTCTTTACTCCCCAGCCTTGTCAGCTCCAACCCTTGCTAACTGCTTGCTTGTGCCAAGTATAATCTTCCATATCACCTCTCCACCCCCATCCTAGCATCAGCCTTCAGGGATGCGTAAATCTGCCTTGTGTGGATCTGTTTGTTCTACTATAGACCTTTAAAAGATTGGGAATAATTATCACAGTTCTACCTTTACATTTAGTTCTCATTATTTAATAGTCTGCCCATTTCATTATAAGTTCCATGAGAAGTGTGCCTGCTTCTGTGTGCAATATTACATCATCATACCTAATGCCTGTAATAAATGGTTAACACACATTTGTTAACTATCTAAATTCATGAACAACCAACACATTATAAGTGCCATGTGTCTAGACTAAATCTTTTCTGTCTGCACTCAGAAGTATCGTCCATATGACAGAAAAGACATACGAGAAAAACCTCTTAAACTATACAATCTTGTGCTTACTTAAGCAGAAAATATTCTTTTTAATACAGGGATTATCTCCATAGACCCTGTAGAGCACTTAATACTTGTTCTACGTAAAGGTTAAATTTTATTTTTTATATGTGCTCATGTAGTTAGAAATTAATATTCTCCTAAGTCATTGAAATGTTAAATTTTCTAACCTTCTAAAACACTTCATTTTTCTCAGCTTCAGGCAAGATTGAGAAATAAACTCTATAAGATATTAATATCCTTAATAGGTACTGAACCTGAGGGCTGACACACCTATGGGTTCTTTCATGTTTCAGTTTTACTGAGCACTATACTTGAGTGTCAAAAAGTAAGTTTATCAGTAGCATGAAAATATGTTTACAATAGAATGTAAGAAATACTTGTTTTATATGTTAAAATAAAATAGCATATAAAACAAATATAACCTATAAAAATCATTATATATTATATATATATGACAAGATTCATTGTGATTATATGAAGGAAAGAGAATTGGGAATTTTGAAATATTTTGCCTAAATACAGATTTAAATTAAAAGAGCATCTAATTAGGGGCACCTGGGTGGCTCAGTTGGTTAAGCATCTGCCTTTGGCTCAGGTCATGATCTCAGGGTCCTGGGATCGAGCCCCACATCGGGCTCCCTGCTCAGCGGGAAGCCTGCTTCTCCCTCTCCTACTCCCCCTGCTTGTGTTCCCTCTCTCGCTGTCTCTCTCTGTGTGTCAAATAAAAAAAAAAAAAGAGCATCTAATTATTACATAATATCTTACTCTCTTCATAGCCTCATTCACTTTTATGCCCATTCATTTCTTGTATCCTCTTGCACTCGTTTGGATATTTGTTCCCCCTCAATTCTGCTTCCAATGTGGGTGAGAGATTTCTCATATTCCTGCCCTCACCATCATGATTCTGATACTCACCTTTCCATTCTCTCTACCTGACTTCTCAGGAAGTATTATTTTATCTTTCTGTTGCAATTACTTTTATTTTGGGGGGAACCGTATAAAAAGTTTCAGAAGCTCTATTTATACATTAATCTAAAATGTTATTCATCCATATGTCTTATAATTTACTGGTGTGTCTTTCTCTGAACTAGCAAATTGTCACTAGAGCTCTTAGCTTGTATCTCAGTTACCTTCTACGGAGCACTAGGCTCATAGTGTTCTAGAAAGTGCAAAGGCTCTGGGGCAGATGGAAGTAGAGGACACTTCATTCCCACTTATTGCATTTTATTTCATTGACCATAGGCAGGTTGTTTCACATGCTTAAGACATCATCAAACAAGATGACACATACCCCAGAGAATTATCCTGAGGGCCAAATGATAAGTCTTATTTGCAGATCTCCATTTTTCACCTTACTGCCTTTTCTGTCTCTCATTTAATCTTTAGTGCACATGCCTTGCCATATATTTGCTACACCTTCTACTTTGTTACCTAATTTCATTGTTTTGCTTGGGTCTGAGGAGAAATTTTGAGTTCACATTCTTGGTTAGCCAGAGGATAACAATGATAATTTCTCTTTGGCACACAAACAAGTGCCTGCCACTCTACTAATTCTACTTACATTATTCCCCAATCTCTCTAATTTACCTTCATAACATTTGTCTATAATTATCATATGTGGCTAGGCTCTGTTAGTTTGAGTTACTTGCCCAAAATCACACAGCTAATATGTGAAAAGGTTGGACTTTTATCCAAGGCCATTTTGACAGCAAAGCTATATATTTGTTTTCAAGGCCCATGCCAGAACATTACAATAGAAAAGGCATTATTTAATCAAGTGCTTAGATTTTTATTTATTTTTTTTTAGTTTGAGGTAGAGGATGTCTCATCTAGTCATTGCTTTTAATTTTTCTGAATTACAGTGATGTCCTTCTTGGCTTTATACTTTATTTTCAAATGTATGTTTAATGCCAAACTAAAACCTTATATTTTAAATATAAATATTTCAAGTGTCTTTTAAAAAACAGGCTGAGAGTAATGGTCCCTTTGGGCCTGTTAGATCTTCAAGAAAAAAAAGTTGGCTTATGTAATAAAAAGGTAAGTAAAGATAATTCTTTATATATTTTGAACTCCAAAATTCAAGAATACTTTTTTTTTTTAACTTAATTCAAACACCCATGAAATCTGATGTGTTCCCAATTCAGCTAGCATCACAGTCATCCATGGCCTGAGTGAAGCAGAATCTTTCTTAGTAGTGTATACTTATTAAAAATACAAAGAGTATATTCAGGTGGTTTAAACCCAAATAATAGCCAGTGAATCTGGTGTCCTTTAGCTTTCTAGTGCCACCATGTGCTTTATTATTTATTATTTTTGATAAATCTCTCTTTGGCTAAGCTGAAAATCTCACCACCTCTCTCTCCAGATAGAATGTGTAAAGACCACGTTCAGTATTTCATCCTGAAAGTGAGATTCAATTTACTATAGAAAAGCTTTTAATCTTCATATATGGCCTGACATACTGGGTTTTATTTAACAGCAGAGTTTCTTAGACAAGTACAAGGCATTTCTTCAAAGAACCTGACCAAATGCTAAAATCCATTTCCTTCTAAAATTGCAGTTGTTAAATTAGACCTAAAACATTTATAAATGTCACTTTGCCTTTCCAGCAATTAAGGAGTTAAAAAAACCCTTTGTGTTGCATAGCTTTGAAATTATTATATTTATCCTGAACTGGCCCTTCAATTTGCTCTAGCAAATACTTTGGAGGTTGCCTTAAAGAGGGAGACATCAGTTCTGAACAGGTGGAAAAGGGTTTCTTGATGTATAAAAGTGTCCTATTTCAAAGGCATTTTAGCAATTTTAGCACATCTACTGCTGTGAATTCCCATGCAAGTGGGTGGCCAATTCATTTCCCTTTAAAGAGCAGAAAATCTATAAGTCAAGATCATTGGCCTAATTTCACCATGATGAGGGGCAGTTGGTGATTTACTGAAACTTTCCCTTTCCTGTCTCATTGTTTTAGTGTTGATCCTCCTGATCATCACCATGAGAAGAAGGAAAAAAGAACCTCTCATTTTTGATGAGGAGAGAGATATCAGAGAAAATATCGTGAGATATGATGACGAAGGTGGGGGAGAGGAAGACACAGAAGCTTTCGACATGGCCGCATTAAGAAATCTCAACGTCATCAGAGATACCAAGACTCGGAGGGATGTGACTCCAGAAATTCAGTTCTTGAGTCGACCAACTTTTAAAAGCATCCCAGATAATGTCATTTTTCGGGAATTTATTTGGGAAAGACTGAAAGAAGCTGATGTGGATCCCTGTGCTCCCCCCTATGATTCCTTGCAGACATATGCATTTGAAGGAAATGGCTCAGTGGCTGAATCACTCAGCTCCTTAGATTCCATCAGCTCAAACTCTGATCAGAATTATGACTACCTAAGTGACTGGGGGCCTCGCTTTAAACGACTTGCAGATATGTATGGAACTGGCCAGGAGAGTTTGTACTCATAGCCCCGGAACCTTAATTTGAAACGTACTGAAGAAAAAGTCAAAGCAAAAAACCCCACTCCATACAGAAAACGAGAACTCAACTAGAGAAAATGGTTGTAAATATCTCTCCATTTTTAACTGTTTAGGTTTTCACCTTGGTGAAGCATATCTTCATTAGACTTATCTAACCACAGACTCTGAGCATTTGACGGCTTTTTGATAAAATGAAATGCTCAGTGGTTTGTGAATAGATAGCAACTCTCAGATACCTGCAAAGCACCTAACCTCAATGAGTAAGTAGTGCCCTGTGTTGTCTGTGAACCAAGTGTGCACTGTAGTGAGAAGAACAGAACACGATGAGTCATTGAAAAGTCCTGGAACTTCTTGCATATCAAAACTTGGGACAAATTTAATTTACAGTGATGCGGTTAGCTTGCTAGATTATAGAATCCAGCAGAATTTCATTGCTGTTGGGTAGCAAATATATTTCATTTAGCAATATATAAATTCTTAGAAAATCCTCCCCAATCCTCCAATACAAGCCAATAAAATTTGGTTTAAGGCGACATAAACCGTTGTTTAGCAAATAAATTATGAAGTGTTCCAAATAAGAAAAAACGTAAATCATTCTTAAAGTTTGCAGTCCTTTTGAGATGCTTGTGTAGGTATGAAAAAAGTTGCTGTCTATTCATTGATTTTTATTATCTCTTCTGATTTATACAGGAGACTATCTTTGCTTTTTTTATTTGACACCTGGTCTATTTATTTTGGAGCTCCAATCTCCACTGAATTCAGGTCCATCTGACTGCCTCATAGCATTAAGCTCGTCAGAACATGCTGATTTTTCTCCAGTCTGAGCTACACAAAGGAAATGAAGCATGGAAATGGAGAAAAAATAGTAGAACAGTTGAGCCTTGTTGCAGTTCACATCTCAGAGAGGAGCACAACTACAAGGACATAGAAGTTGTTCATCTGAGCCATTAGAATGTACCAAACAGTGGAATAAAACATTTGTATTTTAGAAAGATTTCAGAGAGAATTGAGATTTTTTTTGATGCAAGATTTATTTTTCAAGGTCACAAGTTCTATATGCTCCAAAGAATTTGAGAATTTGTTTTCCCCAGCCTCTTTTGCTGTAAATGTATTGGGTAAAAGACTTTTTTTTAACTCTATCTTAAACAATGTAATGTTACAAATTTCAAAAATCCATCTTTAAATTCTGATGCAGATTTGTTCCTCAAGAATTAACCAAGCAATGTAGGATTTCTGTACTGGTTTAGATGTGCCAAAATGAGGAGAGGAATTTCCAGGGATCACATGTGTTTAAGTTTGAGATGGGCTTCTTAGAATTATGACTAAAATATTTCCATCTATCATTTTTTCCTAGAATAGTACTAGTTTAATGTGCATATATTTCAGTAAGAATGGATTTTTTTCTTTCACTTCTCCTTTTAAAAATAATTTATTGTGTTCCTAATAAATCTACAGGTAGTGGACACTGTATAGGAAATTACATTTTAAAAGTGCTTCTTTCTGAAAGACAAACACTGGAATTAGAATATCAGTATTTTGATTACATGAGGAGAACTAGGAGTCTGTAAACCTACAGTTCATCTTTAGAAATAAAGTACATGAAAGTGGCCTTCAACTTCATCAAAATAAATAATTCAATAAATCTGATTATCTGCAAACAGCCCTTTCATTTGAATACAGTTTTGTAAACACTGTTTCAGGACTAGATAGATATGCTTCTTGCTGGATTAATATACATATATATGAAAAACTTGTAACAGTAAAAGGTTCTGTTCATGATTTTCAGTCACATATATAAGTTTTTCAGATAAAAAAAAAAATACATAGTACACTTACCGAATTCAATAAAAGCAGAATGTGGTGCAGGAATTATATAGGTGTTAAATCAGCAAGGTGCTGAGAAAACAGTTTTGTAATAATCCCCTTGTTGTCTGCAGGAAGATAAAATAGTTTAGTACATTTGGATTATGATGTCAAAACTGCTGATTGTTGCACATATCACTAAATGGAGGTTTGAATGTATTTTAGAAAAGAAACATCACATCATTCACCTTGTTTTCTCTTGTTTTCAAGTATATATTTTTTCTTTTTTTTTCATATTTGTGGGTCATAGATTGGGAAAAGAAAAGCTCAAATTTAAATAAAGATTTGAAATTCTTGCATATACCCACTTGCTTTTATGTGTGGACAATTACATCAATAGAGTATAAACTTGATTCAGTGGTATGTTTTAAAAACACTTGAGATGGCTGAAAGAATGTCCCTAATTTAGATGAAATTTATATGAAGTACTCTAGCTAAGCTCACCTGTAATGGAGGTGAATTGGTTATTTTAGTTTTTTTTTTTCCCTGAAATCTAATGCTATGTATGATTATCTCTGTAGTACTTGAGAGACACACTGGAATAGTTGATAAAATCAATGTTAAACCTAGTTAGGACATTCTCCAAAAACATTTATATAAATGCCTATTATCTAGTTTTACTAAAATTCAGTGATATACTGGAACCAGCTAGAACCAACTCCCAAGAACCAATGACATACATCTCTTCTCAACCCTCCTTCTAGAGAGAGCATTTTGGTGGACTGAAGTTAGCCATGGGTAGTATCTGGACCACCATGGAAATCAGCAAACACTACCTGTTTTTCCTGGAGATCCAGTTGTTAAATGTTTACCAACATTTCACTGCTTACATTGCTTTAAAAAGGAAACCTCATGATTGTAAATATAGTATGAATGAATAGAATATCAAGTAATGACAGGCGAGGAATTTGTACTCTATCCTACTACTAAATATAGATGCACGTGATACTCCCCGGTATGAAGTCCTTGGAGCTACAAGTAGAAAGGAAAGGATCCACTTCATTGTGGGAAGCAATGGCTTAATAATTTCAATGGCAGACAGTAGTCTGGGAAGCCAATAAATTTAAATATTTTCCATTTGTCCATATGGGGGCACCATTAGAAACTCAAGGTGCACAAAGTAATGCATATTTTTGACACTTTAGTTTCTTAAAAATGTTTGCATTTTACTTGTCACTGTCTACGTCACGGAAATATGCCCAAGCCCCAATTCTGTATTATCACTGCATAATTTTAAACCAGCATAAAGAATATGAAAACTAAATCTTATCAAGAAAGTGGGCTTTTGCTGATCAAACCTAAATTATCATTCTGGATTCACCGATCAGTTTCTATGTTAAAGCAATACCCTAAGGTCAATTGCAGACCAAAATGAAGGAGACAGCAAGAAATGATTACCTCTGTGAAGGCCATGAGCAGATCTTTCTATAAGCAATCAGATGAAGCTGGTAAACTTCTTTGACCTGAAGCTCACACCCGAGGCTGACCGCAGTGGGGTCAGGTAACTGCAGGATACAGACAGGAAGTAATCGTGTGTAGGTAATGATATCTGCCTTTTCACTCTGCCCTCTGAGAATGTTTTAAATTATTTTAACTTCATGCACAATTACCTTTACTACACTAGATGAGCAGGCACTGCCAATTATTCTCGTGTAAAAAGTGTAGTTATATAAGGTGTGGGTGATATTTGTGTCATGGCCCACGTGCCCAAAGAACTTCCGTGTGAATAGACTTGTCATTTATATCCAAATATAAAATCTGAGGGAGCTTAAAATAAGTTAAAATATATTGCAAGAGGCAAAAACAATCTAAACATTTTAAAGTTTTTAAGCACTAGCTGTAAATAGTAATCTTCAAACTTTCCATTTTGACATCTATTGACTTACAAACTGTTTTAATTAACCTAATCGGGGTTTTTTGTTTTTGTTTTAATTTTTTTATTAACATATAATGTATTATTTGTTTCCGGGGTACAGGTCTGTGATTCATCAGAACCTAATTTTTTTTTTTTTTTTTTTTTATTCTTATGTTAATCCCCATACATTACATCATTAGTTCTAGATGAAGTGTTCCATGATTCATTGTTCGTGCACAACACCCAGTGCTCCATGCAGAACGTGCCCTCCTCAATCAATACCCACCACCAGGCCAACCCATCCTCCCACCCCCCTCCCCTCTAGAACCCTCAGTTTGTTTTTCAGAGTCCATCTTCTCTCATGCAGAACCTAATTGTTTTTAAAGCTTTATTTACAGTTGCTCTAATTAATGTTGATTATAAGAAAGCTCCAACTTTTGATTCTTTCTGGTCAGGGATGGCTGGAGGCACATACAGTGTATATGACAATTAGTAGAGAAGGAAATTCATTTTCTGTTATTATACAGTTTTTAAAAATTATTAATAATGTGTATTATGTGTATATACGATGGTGTATGAAAGTTTCACAGGCAAAACTAATGCAGTAATGTTAGCTAATCATCAACATAACCAAAAGAGCAAGGAAAGAGTAATAGCATTTACATTTTGGGTGTAATTGAAATTGTTTCAGAGGACTGGGATAAAGCCTCAAGAAAAATGGGAGTTATTTGACTCTGATTTGGCAGCCATTGTAAAGTACAGTTCTAGGGGTAATTTTTCAAGCAAAAACAAGACAGCCAGTGTGTGCGGCATTCTGGTTCTTTTTCGTTGTTATGCTAGCTTGTACAGGCTCAGAGTTAAACTGCAAAAGGTCGTGTGAGTGTGTGTGTACGTGTGTGTGTGTGATGGGGAGGCATTGGGAAGTATGTCTGAAGCAAACTGGTCCAAAACTATCTTATTAATGCCATTATATTATTGTCCTTTGCAAATTCTTGATAAGCCATAAGACTAGGATATCTGATATGGACTGAAGGGAGCAATATTTTATTTGCTTTAAAAAATTTAATTTAAGGAGAAGGATTTTGGTATTAAGGGGAAAGCATTTAGCTGAACTATCTAAATAATTGCCTCATTTTATTTTTATTGCGTAGATGTGATCTCGCTGTTCACATGGACTATGGAGTTTGAATTATTTATTATGGAATGTCACTGAGCTTTGGCCTTGACTATCAGTGTGGTTACTACAAAGTAGCCCTGGTCTGTGGTTATAAAATCTGGGTCAGAAGCCAGTTCTAGCACATTTTTGCTATGCCCTGGATGCCATTCTAATTCTCTGAATCTTTATATCTTCATGATTAAAATTGAGTTAATTACTATCCTGTTGCAGAGGCTTGTGAGCTGATTAAGTGAAAGTGCTGTGTAAACTGTAAAATGCTGTAAAAAATGTAAGGCTTTATTATGGAAAATTATGGAAATTATATAATAAGGTTGATTATATGTATTGTTATATGGTAAACACAGATAATGTCTGTTTTGAGGAGCCTGCATTAAGGAAAAAAAAATGCAAGTAGTATTCTAAATTGGGAAAGAATTTTCAGAAACAATTGGCATAATTGAGTGAAGCCACTACTTAAAAACGATCATTTTTATAAGGTCTTTAAAGGTTGGGGTCTAATTCAAACCAGTTCAGTCATTAATAAGAATTAAGGATATCAGTATGGGCAAGGGATTACAAGTAAAAAATGAGTATTTCCCACCCCTGATGCTAAGTGGAACATGAAGGTCTTTAGCTGATCCCAGCCTCATTACGGAACACAAATATATGGGAGCAGAAGAGATCTGTTTAAGAAGATAATGAATGTAAGGTATGAGATCTTCCAGACATCCAGAGAAAATGGAATGTGGCTCTATGGAGTTCAAAGTTTTTGTCAGTCATGAGTGGCCTATGTATAACTAATAATTTATACACTTCAAAGTACAATAATATTGACTTAACATGGAAACTATCCTGTACTCTTGTTTTGATGACTTAAAAATACTTCCAATATCTTACAGTAGCTTATTTTAGCCTTTTATAAATGAAGAGGCCATCAGAGATTTAAAAAGTAATATACATAGGATATTATTGCTTTGTCAGTGACAATCTGCTCATAAAATGAGCATTAATAAACTTTCTACTCAACTTTAGATATTAGTTATTGGATTTGAAGCTCATATGAACAAGCATTATAAACACATTAATAGCTATGTAATTACTGAGAATGTTGAAAAGTATAGCATACTCATACTCAAAGGCATTAACTCTTACATTTTTATTGCATTAATTCATGAAATGATGCTAATGGTTTTTATTTTTATAAGCTGTAAAAATGGTATGCTTCACTACTGTTTCATGCTGTATTTTTTGTGAGTAAACACTATTTTTTTAATATCAAGATCTGGCATATACAGTATGCTGAATGTGTGATCAATACTTCAAAAGTAATCAATTTTTTAAAACAGATCAGATCCCTATACAGCAGTTGCATTTTACCTGTAATGATTTTAAAGGCAAAAAATAAAAGGAAAAGGAGAAAAGGATTTACTACACAAATTTCATATATATTATGTTTCAAACTGCATATATATATGAGCATATGCACACACACAATCTGAGGCTAAATGTTAAATTGAAACTTTTAACATTTTTTAAAGATAATTATGGCTACTAGATGCAATCTCTACAATTAAATTACATGGGAATGCTGAAAAATGCTATTGCACATTTGTTAAGCTGTTCTTCCTATAGATTCCAGAATTTCTTTTTACAAAAGTTAGAGAAATGAGCAATTCATATAAGTAAAATATATAGCATATCTTTCAATGAAACTATTAGTGCATATTTAAGAGTATTATATTAAAAAGAATTGAATCCTTTTTTTCTGCAATGTTTTTACTCACACAAGAGTCACTTGAATAAATTGACATAAAATAGTTTTTAAAATGCTAATTCAATTAACTACAAAAATCAGTCCTGAAAATGTAGTTCCATTTAGCCTTGGAAATGAGACATCAAGTAAAACCTTGAGCTCTGAATGTATGTCAGACCCTGAAGAAAGATTTTTGTTCAACTCAAGCACTGCCTTTCAGGCAGCTGGTGAGCTAGAGTACTAACTATTTGAGATTTTTTTTTTTAGCAAATAAAGGAAAGTACCATTTCATAATTATGCAAGTGAATGGCTGTACACAAAGTGCACAACGAATATGAAGTAATTTGGGAAACCAGGCAGTGATAATATGAGAGCTTGGTTTATTGCCATGATTTCTTGATG